CACACCCCCCCCCCCCCCCAAAAAAAAAAACAAAAAAAAAACGTGTAAATTAATGCATAATATCAGTCGTCAAGAATAATAAGCTCACATGAAGATGAACCCCAGGGCATGGACGCCAAATCCTGTTGGATCCGATGTTTCTCCTCCAAAGCGAGGTTTCCCTTCAGACAAATAGATACCATCTTCAGACATGTTGCGTTTGTTAGAATGTACTCCGCCACTTCTTTCTCCGGCTCCGATCCAATGTAACGCTTCCACTGGAAAGTTTCAAGGCTCGAGAAAAGACACGGAGGGACATCAACTGGTCGTTTCCACGAGATACGGGGGACCATGTAGAAGAACCTTTCCTGAGACCAAGATGGCGATCATAAGAAACGTAAATATACGGTTGTATCAAAACTATGAACTGAGTGAGAAATCAGCATACATTCTTGAGTTTTAGAACTCGTAGGTTAGGAGAAGCTTCGAGCATATACGCAAATAGATCACCCCAGTCGTCGCCACATATCCGTAACTCGAGATGAACAAGCTGGTTGAAGACCATGTCATCATCACTTGGTAGCAGCACATCCTGTTTGGTTATGCCAACATATTGAGAAGATAAACACTAAACACTATGTAATACGACAAGAAACCATTTAGATAACAAGAAAAGATTGCCTTTTTCTTTGTTGTTTTCATTCACAAATATATATCCATTTGCAAACGGAAGACATGTTACCTGTACAGCTAAGGAAAGACGTTTAACTGATATAAGAGATCCTAGAAGCTTCAGAGGAGGTATAACGGTAACTTTTGCCTCCACCACCTCGGGCATGTTCTCGACCAGCACAAAGTCATTACCGGTATAATCTACAATGTGCAAATACTTCAAAGAAGGAGTATCTATCACCAACCCGCCATATCCGCCACACATGTTACGTGCAGATAATCTTTGTAAGCTCGGCATTTCAATGGCGTATATTTCGTACACGTCAGAATACCATTCCACAGTTAAATCTTCAAGAACAGGACAACTTGATAAAAGTCCATGAAAACACTCAAAGTCTTTAAAGCGCACTCCCATGAGATGCAAAGTCTTGAGGGATCGGAAACAACATCGAGAAGGAACATCCACAAGAATGTAATCTCTGAGTATCAACCTCTCGAGAGTTTCACAAGTGTAGAGGCTACTCGGCAAGAGAATCCCATCCTCTCCATCCTCATAATCATACTCATAATCGTAAGCACAAATGTCGAGCTCACGAACACGGCGCTCAACAGCAATCCTGACCCATATTCTCATATCTTCTGAACGAACAGAACCCGAATCTATGCGAAGACACAGGCTTTCTAGGACTGGAAACTTATTCGATAGCAAAGACCTGTTAACTAGCTCCGTGAAACTTCCTAGTAGAGTCCCTTCTTTCAAAGAATCAAACTTAAGTTTCGGCACCATCGTCCAAAGTGAATGCCATCGTTTAGACAACACCATGGTGCCGACGACATCTTTTGTCGGGATTAAGGCAAGAATTTGCGACAGCAATTCATCAGGCAACGCACTGATCCTGTCCAAAGTCATATTTTCTGCAACGGATTCCGCTGCCAAAACCAGAAACCAAAAGTCAATGATGGGGCCTTTTGTTGAGCTTGCATGTGAAAAACCATAAAACCATGAGGAAACCATGAGAGAGAGAGAGAGAGAGAGAGAGAGAGAGAGAGAGAGAGAGAGAGAGAGAGAAATGGAAATTACTTGGCATTGACGTCGCTCTGTGTGACATTGTGAACGCGTAGTAGGGTTTATGGTCAATTGTAATCGCTCGTATGATATTGTGACGGGGCCTTTACTGGAGCTTGCATGTAAGAAACCCTAAACCTAACCATAAAACCATGAAGAAGCCATGAGAGAGAGAGGAAATGTACTTCACAATGACGTCGCTCGTGTATATATCGTAGTTCTGTCGTAGGGTTTATGGTTTTAATAGAAGAAAGAGGTGGAGCTAAATAGAAAGTCTATCAAAAGCGGCGCGGCCCCGTGTTTGTTTCCTTTTTTTTTTTACCTTTTTTTTTTTTGTTAACTTTGATTTACCTTTTTTTTTGTTTTACTAATCTTAATTGACCTTTTAACTCTAAATATTAAACATTAAATCCTGATTTCAAAATTCTCAATCCTAATTTTTAAACGCTAAATAAATTAACCTCTAAATTATAAATTTTAAATCCAAGATATGCAGATTAGTAGGACGATTTAGATTGTTAAGTTTAGGTTTCGACTAGAATTCAGAGTATATAGACTAGGGTTTAGAATTTTAAATTTAAATTATATGGGTCAGAATATAGAATTTAGAGAAAAGGAAATTAGCAATAAAAAAAGGAAAAAAAGAAAAGAAAAGGAAGATTATTAAAAATAATTCGCCAATATTCCGATATATCATTCATCGAGGAGCATGAAGTAAAAGACACAAAGACTTAGAAAAATTATACCCAAACAGTTATTCGCCGTAGTCCCAATTTTTTTCCAATATTCCGATAAATCATTCACCCTAGTTACTTCGCCGTAGTCCCAAATTTTTTCGGGATCGAACGCATAAATTCTTCATTCATCCTACTCATTACTCGTTGAGTCTTGAAACTTGTGAATTCATTGCATGTGAGATTTGGTTTTAGCCTAGGGAGACTTGAATTATATTTTAACAATTAAAATTTTAAATTTATATTTTTATAGTAAAAAAAATATTTTTTATTTTGTACGGGGCCAAATATTTTTGAGATGGCTCCGATTAAAAATATTTAAATAAATGGTGTTAGGGTTGTGTGCAGAATATAGTTGCTATAAAAGATAAAATCAAATCAACATAAGAAAATAAGGATAAAGAGGTAAGTAATAAAAGATACAAAAGTGGAAGATAAAATCAAATCAAGAAAATCAAACCAAATACAAGCTGGCATGAAGTTGAACCCCTGGGAATTGAAGCCAATTCCTTCACTATGCCAAGTTTCTGGACCCGATCGAGGTACACATCCGGGTAAATAGCTACCATCTTCAAATATTTTGCATTTGTTAGGATATACTTCGTCACTTCTTTTTGTGCCTCCCGTCCTTTACAACATTTCCACCGAAAAGTTTCCAGGCTCAACAGTAGACATCGAACCACATGATTTGATCGTTTTCACCTAGTTCGGGGATCTTCGTACAACCTTTTCTGCGACCAAGATAGTAAGAAATTTAAATACAGTGCACTAGCGAATATCAAACTGGAAACTTGAGCGAGAAGTCGGTATACACTGTTGAGTTCTAGAACTCGTAGGGTAGGACAACCTTTGAGCATATACGTGAGTAGATCACACCAATCTTTGTCACATGTGTATAACTCGAGATGAACAAGTTGATAGAACACTCTGCCACTCAGAAGTGACTCACCCTGCTTATGACTGAAGATTAAGTGGATAAACACCGCAAAGACAAATCATTCCGAAAACAATTTCTAATCTATTTCCATCCTCAAATCCATATCCATTTGTAAACTAAAGACATGTTACCTCTTCGTAGTTAAAAAAAAAAGACGTTCAATCGATGTAAAGGATACTAGAATCTTCTTAGATGACATGTAACTCTGCATTATGAATCTGACCTTTTTAAAACATCTATATGCACTTTGGCCAGAAAGCTCCTGCCCTGTTCTGGAAACGTATACCTACACGAGAAGGAAAACGAGTTGTACGAGTGAGGAATTTCATGTGGCTTACAAACTATACAGGAAGGTTTGATGACCACAAGCTTATTAATTCAAATTGGCTGCACTTTAGGACAAATAAATCGAGATTGTTCCCCTTGGAAGCTAAAGCATAAAGTTTTCCAGTAGTGCGAGGTGCCCTTTTTCACTTCTACTTTGAACTATGCCTCCTCTCCTCATCGTAAAGAATCACCATCTTGATTGAATTGTGCGTGTGTGCATCCATATATATGTATCACATTTTACTTCTGAGGAAAATTCAGTTCTCTATGTGTTCTTTCTGTCAGCAACAAACCTTTCTTCTGCAGAGCCACTGTTTGCTGAAACACGCCTTTTGCCAGCATCCTTTGGAGCAGCAGAACTCGTTTTAGGATCCAACCAGCCTTCTGAAGCATGTAAGCCTTCTTGACCCTTTGACACCCTTGACTTGGTTTGTCCAACTGAGCGACAGAACATTTAGGTACGTAAATAACTCAATGGGAAATAGTTCAACTAACAAGAAAAATTCCACCTTTTCCCTTTTTTGTATACAGTCTCAAATCAATCCATTCTAACAGAAGACGGGTTACCTTTAAAGTTAAGGAAAGACGCCCGACTGATATAAGAACTCCTACAATGTGCAAATACTTCAAAAAAGGTATCAATGAAATCATCTACAATGTGCAGATACAGCAGTTAAGTTCTCAATCCTGTCCAAACACCACTCCATGGCCAAATCTTCAAGACCAAGGCAACTTAAACTTCAATGCAGCAAGAGAGTTTAATACAGATTTCAGAAACACAGTAGAATCAGCAAAAACAATGAACTATTCTTTAACAGGGAAAATTAGAGAATAGAGTAGCAGATGCTTCATATCAGAGCAACCCACACAATCTTACCGAAGAGTTTTATACAAGAGTCTATGGGAAAGCGTTTCTAGCATATCCTCCCACCCCAAAAAAAAAAGTTAATGTATAATATCAGTCGAAAATAAGCTGACATGAAGTTGAACCCCTGGCCATGGAAGCCAATTCCTTTACGATCCGAAGTTTCTCTTCCACATTGATGTATTTCTCAGTGTAAATAGATGCCATCTTCAAACATGCAGCATTTGATAGGATGTACTTTGCCACTTCTTTTTCCCGGAATGATCCCTGGTAACCTTTCCACTGGAAAGTTTCAAGGCTGGACAATAAACATAGAGGGATATGATTTGGTTGTTTCCACCAAGTCCAGGGATTTGATTCATTTGAATACAACCTGTCCTGCGACTAAGATTATAAGAAACAGAAAATACAGTGTTGTATTAGATAATTGAACTGGAAAATGTACGAGAAGTTAGCAGGTTGAGCAAGTAGTGTACATTCTTGAGTTTCAGAACTCGCAGGTTAGGAGAACCTTCGAGCATATATGCAAGTAAATCACACCAGTCTTGGCCACGTGTGAATAACTCGAGATGAACAAGGCGATGGAACACAATGCCGTTCAAAAGCAGCACACCCCGCTTATGATGGAACAATAAGTAGATAAACACCAGCGTAATGAGAAAGCATTCAAATTCCAATAACAAGAAAAGAACGCCATTTTTTCTTTGTTGTTTTCAATCCATTTGAAAACGGAAGACGAGTTACCTCGACAGCTAAGGAAAGATGCTCAACTGATGTAAGAGAACCTAGAAGCTTCTGAGATGGTACATTAAACAAGTCAACAATTGCCTCCACAATCTCAGGCATGTTCTCAACCACCAAAGAGGTATCAGTGTCATGATCTACAATGTGCAAATACTTCAAAGAAGGAGCATTTATCACCAACCCGCCATATCCGAAGCCAGGCGTGTTATATGTGGATAATCTTTGTAAGCCCGGCAATGCAATAGTGTAACTTTCCTCCCTACGGGAATACCATACCACAGTTAAATCTTCAAGAAGCGGGCAACTTGATAAAAGCCTGTGAAAACACTCCCCTTTATAGCACACTTCTATGAGATGCATAGTTTTGAGGGATCGGAAACATGATTGAAAAGGAACATCCACAAGAACACCATCTCGAAGTATCAAAGTCTCGAGAGTTCCACAAGTACAGGCTATCCGGCATGCGAATCCCTTTCTCTTCATCATCATAATCATAATCATAACCGTGAAGACAAATTTCGAGCTCACGCACACGGCGTTCAACTGCAATCCCAACCCATATTCTCAAATCTACTCCACGAGCAGAGCTCGAATCTACGTGAAGACACGGACTTTCTAGAATTGGAGCCTTATTCGATAGCAAACTCCTGTAAACAAACTCTGTGAATGCTCCGCGTTCAGTCTCATGGCCGGAAGAAGCATACTCAAGTCTCGGCACCATCGTCCAAAGAGACTGCCATCGTCTAGACAGAACCATAGTGCCAAAGACATCTTTTGTTGGAACGAACGAAAGAATCCGAATCAGCAATACATCAGGCAACAAACTGATCCTATCCATATTACAGCAACCCGTCCTGTTTCTCAAGCCGATTTAGCTGTCAAGACCAGAAAAAACCCAACTTCAAAGGCGAGACCTTTGTCGGAGCTAGCATGTAAGAAACCCTAAAACTAACCATATGAACGATGAAGAAGCCATGGGAGAGACAGAAACTTGCACCCGTTCGCAGTGTCGTCCCTCGTCCCTGGAGACACCCTCGCCTTGTGTTGTGAACTGGACGAAAGAGTAGGGTTTGTACCCTTTACAGCGAGAGGAGAAGGAGAAAAAGGGTTTTTTATTCACCTTCCATTAAAGAGTGGCAATTTTATATCCCATCAATCCATTTTTCAAACCCTGTAATCTTTGTCTATAAACTCTAGATTCTAATCGAAATCTAAACTTACCAATAATCTGCATCTCTTGGGACTTAAATTTTTTATTTATAGGTTAAGTTTAGAATATGCTTAGTACCTGTTTTAGGGGGCATTATCAAAAATACCCTTAAAATGCTACTTCTACTTCAAGACCTACCCTGGTCACATGTGACCAATGTGACCGAAATATAGTATAGTCACATTTTGATTTTTATCGATTATAACGTTAAATTTATGGTGATCACACTAATTCATTATATTCATACCTTGTATATCTTACTAATCATTTGATTAAAACATCATAAATTTAACGTTATGAACAATGAGATCAATATGTGACCACACTATATTTCGGTCACATTGATCACATGGTCACATGGTCACAAGAATAGGTGTTGAAGTTGAAGTAGCATTTTAAGGGTATTTTTGATATAATGCCTTTAATATGTGTATGCAGTCAAATGGTACCAACCAGCAGTTAGTGCCGTCAAAGAAACAAAAGGAATCCGAAGCGGCGAAGGGATCGAGCAGAAAACGACAAATACGCCAGCGAACGCCACGTCGCTCTCCTCCTCTCACGCTCGGTCACATTGGTCACATGGTCACAAGGGTAGGTGTTGAAGTAGAAGTAGCATTTTAAGGGTATTTTTGATATAATGCCGTTTTAGGGTTTTGCGTTTCGCTATTTTACATAATTTACATTTTAACTCAGGATAATGATAAACGCGCTCTTCTCATTCTTTGCAATTCTGGCGTTTGGTAAGAAAGAGAATGCATGTTCTTGGTGATCAACAACAGGACATTAATCAATGTCATCAGTGATAGAGGTCCAGTTTACGACAATGATGTGTTTTGGATTTCATGAATCTTCACATGAATATATATTCAAAAGGATACATATATTTTTATGGCTAGTTGTTCATACATCACGGAAACCGAAATTTTCTGAAGCAATGATCAAAGACGCACAAATTCGTTTCCATGTTTTTCTTATTTCTTGTTTCCATGAATATACAGGAAAGTTTTTTTCGAATATAAATTATATGAAAAGAGAATCCTTCTGATAATATCGAAAAAGATACATCGATTCCAATAAATATAAAACACTAACGAAAAAAATATAGAGAAAATAATCAAGACCTCATGGAAGGAACAAGGCTCCAAAGTAGTTTATCCCTTATTCTCGAATCTTGGATTTTTCGAGTTTTGAAGAACACAGACACTTCCATCGCAAACATATTCCCCAGATCCTGAGGGTTTCATGAAACAACTCAACATGTTTGAGAAGAAACCCATCAGGGTCTTTAGAACCAAAAAAAAAATGTACAATTTTTTTTTTTATCAGAGCAGCGAATCTGAAAGGTGTATGTATTCAGCCTTACATGAATATATATATATATATATGTATGTATGTGTGTATATATATTTATAAAAAGAGATGGGCAGAATGGGAAATGCGAGGAACAAAGTTGTGGAGAAAAATGAGAGAGAAAGAGATAAGTCAGTGGTGGTGGGCTAAACTAAATTTATGGTGTTAATAAATTTAAAGATTGAAACACGTTTGTTGCATGGATTTGACTCATTAGTAATTTAGCTACAACAAGGCGGGGTTAGGTTTAAGAAATCAATTCCTTTGTAAACCGAGACCATAATATCTATCTATCTATCTATATATATATATATATGATACTTGCCAGAATAATTTTTTAATTAATTTTGCAAAAAAAAAAATCAATATGTTGATGGGTATTTTTAATACCCTATAAAAATAAATAAACAGTTTCAATAGAAAATTTTCTAAGCCCATATTTCATAAAAGTATGTTATCTTACCATAAAAGTATCAGAATGATCTGTATGAATAAAGAATCAAGCAGTTGCATTGTAGATTGTATTTTGCACATGTTTCTGATCTTCGTTTGGATCTTTTATGTAAAATGCGTTGGGAGTTGGGACCATATGGATGACGGTTGCTGATTTCTCTCTTCCAACCTAATTTTCCAAACCGGACCAAACCACCAGGTTCGATTTTTAAGTTAAACCGGCAAAAATACATTTTCCAGGTTCATTGTTTTCAGATACTAAATTAGCTCGGAATACTGAGTTCTTTAGTAACATGCAAAAAAGAACTTTGCGCCCAAAAAAAATCCAGATATCAAAGTACCCTTTTTAGATACAGATTTCATCCTCCTTGTCATTTTGCCATGATTTAGTGTGTGATATCATATGACAGTTCTTGATATTGATTCCTTAATCTTGAACTTAATGAAGCTTAAGTGCATAGATATGAAAATCAATAGAAAAATAGATTTCATAAAAACAATTTCGAGATTATATGCAGCAAGGGTGTTTTAATGCAGATTTCAGAAACACAGTAGGAATGCTTGGAAGAGAATCAGCAAAAACAATAAACTATCACACAGGAAAAATGAGAGAATAAAGTAGCTGATGCTTAACCCTTTCATTGAACCATCAAATATTTTGATTAAAATGAACCTGAAGGGTAAGAATCATGGACTGAAGTCACTCAAGTTTTTAGGTACTTTGTGAAAAAGCATGAGGTATCTATCCTACCTGAGAACTGAATGCAACACTTCAATGTTTCGGCTTCTTCCTCGTTTGCTTCTTCGTCTGGCCTTTCCTTTTGGACTTCCTAGACCCGCCTCCGCTCTCCTGTGTACCATAAAGTTTTATGCATCAAAATTTCAGGAGACAATTTCTGTTAAACAAAATCTGATTGATATGATATGTAACTCTGCATTATGAATCAGACCTTTTTAAAACATCTATATGCACTTTGGCCAGAAAGCTCCTGTCCTGTTCTGGAAACGTATACCTACACGAGAAGGAAAACGAGTTGTAAGAGTGAGGAATTTCAGGTGACTTACAAACTAGACAGGAAAGTTTGATGACCACAAGTCTATTAAGACAAATAAATCAAGATTGTTCCCCTGGGAAGCTAAAGTGTAAAGTTTTCCAGCAGTGCGGGGTGTCCTTTTTTATTTCTACTTTGAACTCTGCAGCCGCTCCTCATTGTAAAGAATCATCGTATTTTTATGAAACAGGAAATGCCGTTTGATTGAATTGTGTGTGAGGGTGTCCATATGTATGTGTGTCACATTTTACTTCCGAGGAAAATTGAGTTCTCTATGTGTTTCTTTCTGTCAGCAACAAACCTTTCTTCCTTCTGGTGAAGTATACCAGTGGCCTGCAGAGCCACTGTTTGCTGAAACACGCCTTTTGCCGGCGTCCTTTGGAGCAGCAGAACTCGTTTTAGGATTCAACCAACCTTCTGAAGCATGTAAGCCTTCTTGACTCTTTGACACCTTTGACTTGGTTTGTCCACTTGAGTGAATCTTGTTGCGAGTGTTTGCAGTTTTCGAATTCCCTCTGGTGCCAAATTGGTTCCTACAATATCATTAAAGAAATATGTCAACGCTCTGGAAATCAAAGATAAAAATAAACATAATGAGAAAAGGAATCAATACAAGAGTAACCAACATATAATCAATAAGGAATAAGCTCTGCCGGCTCCCATTGCCATCGACAATTCCCAGAGGTGAGAAGTTTGGCAAACGCTTTCGGGCTAAATCCCGGATCCTAGGATCACTGTGCAGGAAGAAACGATGAGAGGGGGGAGATGGGTGGGCAAAATCCCAACATTGCTCAGCTTGCTGACCACTTGAGTTAAAATGTTCACCCGTTTTACTGTTTGCAGCAGCATTGCTACAGTTTTGAGGTGTGCAATTCTCCTTCATTGAGCGAAAATAGTCCCGACAAACATCATCTAATGCAGGTGTATGAATCTGGAAAGCTTGGGGAGAGAAATCTCTCCATAGATCTCCAGTGCACGACATGGACCCCGACTCATTTTCCTTTGGTTTACTTCTAACTGATTGAAGACCCTTTGAGGATGAACCATTTGAACCGGTCACTCTGCTCACACCTTTACTGGTGGATGGGCGGTCTTCTTCAGAATCTGAATCAAGTAGCTGGAATTTCCGAAGAGGACTGCAAGTTGACCTTTGAAACAATGATGCAGCAGAACTAATCCCAGACCCATTGGACATTGGAACGTCTAACTGCTTCCCTTTTTCCCTCAGGGAGGAAACCCGATTCAAAACCCCAGGTACAAGAAGCGGAACCTTTGAACTGCTACATGAAAAGCGAGATCTTGTTGAAGCAGGTACTTCTGCATGTAGTATATCCAAAATGGTTCTAGTGAATTAATGAATACAGAAAGCAAAAACAGAGTAAACTACAACAGCGTACACGTATCGTTCAATTGAAAATTTTAAGCCATACATCTTTTGTTTCCAATAATTTTGGTGTTCAAAACTCTGCTCTGGCTAGTACGTTAGATAGTTACAAAATGACTGCAACATTTCCCTACCCTATGGATCACCTAAAACTTAGACCTTCAGTCCTTGGCCACACACCAATTGATCGTTTGCTCGCAGTGGAAATGAAGTTCTAAATTAATACTTCAAAGTCTTAAGTGCACGTGATTCATCATATATCTATGTCCAACAGATACTGAATGACACTGAAAGTCCTTTATCTATCTCCAAAGATACCTGTAATATGGAGAACGTGTACACAGATCAACATTAAGACATGTTGCCAAATAATAAAGCTTCTGTCTTGAGCTACAGTAAGGTATCCCATGATCCTCTTATTCCTCTGTGATTCTTAACTATTCAGCTCATGGTTCAGATAGCATACAAGTTCACAAATTCATCGAATTTCAGTTCAATTGTCAGTAAATTCAGCGCGAACTTCTGATTTCATGCATCTGCAAACAGAAAGGCTTATATTTCCAACATTCTTGCGAAATTTAAATCCAATTTTGAACATGAACGTAAAGCAAAAAAGCACAGCGACACACTCAAAGATGCAGCTCCCAAGCAAAATCCAGCAGAAATGTAAGACCCATTTCACGTACACCCATGAATGACATGAAAGATGAAGTAAAACTCAAATAGAGTGTGATACCCGCAAGAAAATCATCTGGAGAAGAGAACTCCTCAACATCATCGTCTAGATCATCGCTACGACCTAACACCTCCTCAACTAGGGCTACGTTACTGTTCTTCGAAGATTGTTCCGCGCTAGTTCCTCTCCTCAATTCCTTGAGAACCCGACTTGAATACTTCGGTTCAGGCTCCGGATCCGAATCCGATATCGTGAGACCCAGCTCATCATCGCCATCTCCGATTACGCGGTCGCAGGAAGCAACAGGAGAACTAGGGTTCCGTTGGGAGGGTAATCGGAGCTCCGACTCAGTATCGATATCAAACCCTAGCGAGAACGATGGTGGTTCAATGTTGTCCATGGGAGGAGGAACGAGAGAGAGCGAGGGGG